ACATACGCACGCACGCACATGTACGTACATACGCACGCACGCACATGTACGTGCATACGCACGTACACTAATCACTCGCCTTCGTGGTACTGATATTCGTTTACATATATTTGCTAGCGTATTGCTGTAAATCGTAATCTTGCACGAGCTGAATTCGCACAATTTACCACTATTGTGTGAGGTGTTAAGACAAATTTTGAAGTTATAGTGGCGCCAATATTTAGCAAGAGACTGTTTCCAAATCATTCGTACCCCGATAGGGTTGAGAGACAAGCTAAATTTCGAATTTTGATCTCGTGAGGAACCGCGAGACGCGCTCAGTTATTGTGATCGCAACACAAGAAATTGACATACTATCTTACATAAGTAATAATACAATAATAACAATATTCTCTGTAGTAGTTTGCAGTAAGTATCACATTATGCACGCGCAGGTAATCAAATACATTAAACCCCTATCGGGGCACGAATGATTTGGAAACAGTCCGTTGCTAAATATTGGCGCCACTATAGCTTCAAAATTTGCCTTAACACCTCACACAATAGTGCCATTTTAGCGGTAAATTGTGCGAATTCAGCTCGTGCAAGATTAAGATTTACAGCAATACGCTAGCAAATATATGTAAACGAATATCAGTACCACGAAGGTGAGTGATTAGTGGTCATAATAAGCTGAGGAACGTATATACACTTGCATCTTTATTGGTGGCAAATTTTGATGAGAAAAATCGGTTAAAAATGCGGGAATCGGGTGTCTCACTCTTGTGTTATTATCTACTCTTGATATTATCAATAATAATTATGAAAACAGTTGGCAAGCTTAAAAGACCAGACCTAGAATAACTTCTCTGGGCTTAGTTTACATACATTAAAAAGTGGGATAATTTATTCAAGATGGCTGCGCCAATATGCAATATGTGCATGCGGTTTGGCATTTATAATAGTGGCTGGTTGCGATAATGACGACATTTCTTGCACAAGATTTCTTAGCCTCATTACGGAAGTTAATGAAGCCACAAAAAATTAGGAAAATGTAGAAAAAACTGTAATGTACATGAAAGTCAATGTCAAAGCTCTTTCCTATGATCAAGAAAGGAATTACTCACTGAAGGGTACAGCTAGTATGGAAAATTGGCATGCATGACGTTTGAATTACCAAAAAGTTAGCATGCTCCAATCCCAGCTTCATGACCTAGCACCTTGGCATCAATTAAATTATTTCTCTTCTCTCTCTGATATGCCTGCAATCACATTACATGAAACACATTCAGAGTGAACGGATAACAAATAATCTAGCTTACACAATGATAATTTTTACGATTTAATATTGATTTAAAATAATAAATCAGTCTTAAACATTGTCAATTGGTTCTTTAATATATTTATGCACATGCTCCTGAATACTAAAAATCGTTCAAGAAATTTTTATATCAATTGAAGAATCGTTTATATCATTGGTGAGATGACACATGGACAACTATGCTGCAATCATATACTCACCTTCCTCCATACCTGTCCACCAAACACACGAGTCTTCATAACCAGTGATGATGTGCGAAGTGTCAGACGCTCTGTTCGAGTCTGTCGAGTTCTGGCTGACACAAGGCAGACTGGGAAAGGTGTAAAACATTGAAGGTGCTTCATGATGTTCCTTGTGATCATATGTCCTTGCATGGTCTTCTTATACACCGTGTTCTTGTATCCATATTGTGGAATCAGATATTAATTTGACAGGTTAAGAGAGCTACGCTGAGATGCTTGACATGCTGCTGAATAATGGGGCTGAATGCAACTTGAAGTGCTGTTGGTGCTGCTTGACATCTCATATGCTTGACAGGACATGTAGAAGACGGCTACTTGACAGCTGGTCCAAGGTGACGTTCTCAGCCTCGAGACGATAGATAGAGATGTCTCCATGTGATAACAGCTGGACATTGGGAAGCGTAGTCTCCGATCAGTGTAGATATTATGAGAGGTGGCTTTATTAATGTTGAAAATCTGAAAAACAAGAAAACCCTCAGCAGTACCAATCCAAAAAATATAACACCAAAGTTACAGGAGGTGGTGACAGCAATAGACTCCTATCTGAGTTTAATTAGTATTTAGAGATTTATATTATTTTAATATGAAATATAATATTTTAATTAGTTTCTATTATTACTTAAAGATGTAAATTAAGCAATGATGACAAAATACAAAGAAACAGGGAAAGACAACCTGATAAAGTTGAGAGACTTCTGTCATCGGTAGGCTCAAGTTCGTGACAATTGTTGTCTACAGCTGGGGTGTCTCACAGTCACTGCTACTGGAACACTGTGTCTGTGGCTCGTTCTGATATTGGGCCTCATCAATGGCAGATCTTTTGAAGAAACTTCCATTTGTTGGCCCTTCATCATCATCTTCTTCTTCTTCGTCGTCGCCACCGCCGTTTCCATCGTCGTTATCGTCGTCATCTCCTTTATTTTCATCATTTTCTTCTTCTTCTTCGCATACTTTTTATTATCTTTTTTTATATTTTTATGCTCTGAACTGTGTAGCGGGTGGAGGGGGCTCTAATAGCAAAAGCAGTTAAGTCCATTGTTAACAGTCAACAAATCCATGTTTAACACTCCCCTTGAGGGTCAAAAAGTTATCAGACACTTACTCTTCGCATGTCAGCGGAAAGTACATTTCATGGTCCTTTCAATAAAGTCATAAAAATGGTAGGTCAGCGCTGAAACAAAAAAGTTTTTTAATCGCTCCGCCAGACCATGTCCTCAGAAAATGTCTAAAATCTGCCCTGTGCCCCATTGACCTTTAACCCGTGACCTCTAATTTCGGCACAGTGATGGCTTTTCCTACCATGATGCTATACACCGACTATCACGAGCTTCGACATCCCAACTCGTTTTCGGATTACACCCCCACGTCCCGACTTTCAAATCCGTACGTCGAGCCGTTTAGATTTGTGCCCAACTGTTGACGGACGCACAAACGCACAGACGCACGCTCATGCAATTCTACAAGCTGCATCTGACTAAGTCAGATGAGCTAAAAATGTAGGATCACCCAGTAATAATAGATTAAGTGGCGGTCAGTCTGGAAGACCGCTCCCACAGAATTTTTTTTAACTTTAGAGCCTGGAAATGGCATTTCCTGCATTTTCAGGCTATGTTGAAAGCAACCAATTCTGATCATTTTAAAAGGTCAATTTGTAAATTTCAAAAAGGAATGTAGCTAAAGCTGATGTTTTGACTAAAGTATCTAAAATATATATTATGAGTATGATAACTAATAAAACATTGTTTACAAAATTGTATATACTATCAGTATATACAATTATGAAAATATTTACACTATGTACTATGTACATCTGTTTGTTTTGAAGTTTGAATTTGAATCACAATACCTTATATAGGCACATTGCCATATTAAATACACATTCCAAATCTTAGAGCACTGATATAACACCTCTAATTGATCAGTATTAATAGTAATACCAGACAGTCCAGTCAGATAACTTGTCATTTTATTTTTTTATTATTCAAATTTTATATTTTCTGCCTGGATGGCAACTTACAAATTCTGAAATTACATCCTGTTCATCTATCTTGTCTAACATATACTCGGAGCATTGTATTGTTGAGCCTTAACTGGGTCATGCTTGCCCTGAGAAAGGATTTCACCCTAGATGCCAAGCGCTGACGGACCTTTCACTGACTGCATGTGTTGCCGGCAATATTAAAAGCAATCTGAGAATTTTTCCGGTTTCAGGATACAGAAGTGAATGGGAGATGTACGACTCCAAGAAGTCCTTTGCACATTTGATGTCTACTGGCATTTGACTCCTGCTAAACATAATCAGTTCTGTTTCTAGAGAAGAGAGCCACGCATGTGTTGTTTCATCTCCTTGGTATATGTAGCTCCTTGGTTCCCTGCACAATTTTTTTTGTCAAAATAGTGCCACGGCAGTGCCGTGCTGCCATGGCGGCCACTACGGGCCTGTTGTATTTATATTTGCAACACATATTTTCCCAATTACAGTACAGTTGAACAGTTTTGATTGATTTATACAGTTTTATATTTGAAATTTCTCTTGTTTCTCGACTTATTTCACATTTTTATTAGTTAATATAACTTTATTTTAATGGAGGTATTTCACGCCCAAATACCTGCATGAATTTCTCTCTATCGACAATGCCTCCAAACCTAAGACTGATGTATAAATGACTGGTAATTTCATCACACATAAAATTTACAAAAATATCTGTGGGATTAGATTCACAATCAGAAAAAGGCACAACACTGTCGACTGGCACGTAAATATCGTGCCTCCTTCCCCAGAATGTCATATGAGAGACCTTTAACATATCGCCATCATTGCTGAGAGCAAGGATACCTATCAATCTCCTAAAGAAATAACTCATAACACAGAGCATCCCAGCTGCTAGTCCTGTTACGCCAAATGTGTAAGTCAACAACCATGGCTCCACGTGCCCCATCGCAGTGAGAGCGGCCATCGGTAGAAGCACAACTGACGTGATGCCTGTCTGTACGATCTTGAATCGCGACACAACCCGCATGTGCACGATGTAGGGGAACTTATATATGACGGAAAAGTCATTGGTGTCGCCCTCTGGTGCTGACAAAGAAGCTCGATCTGTCACTAATGGAGAATTTTGGCTTTGCCCGTCAGAAGAGTATGAGCACACACAAGTCAAACCATGCACCGCTGCCAATTTGACGTCTGTGCGGCGCCTTGGTTCGCACTTGCTCGGGATAAAAAATGCTAACGATACTTTCCTTGTCGTATGAAACTCTAGAAGAGATCTGGCATATACTGAGAATTGTGACGGTAGCGCAGCGTGTGGCCGTGTGAGAACAGGTGACGATGACAGCAACGCATTTCGAAGTCGATTCCATACGAGTCTGCTTGCCATTTATGTAGATGTCTGTGCCTACAATTAGGACTATCTGTACTGTAGCTTTAAGCTGCTGTCCTAGAAACAAAATTGAATAATAATTACAAGTCGATTGCGATGTTAATTGGTATAAACATTCAAAATAAGATTTATAGTTTTTTATCAACAATGGGTGTCTGCTTTTGTGATCAGACTCGTCATCATGAAAAGATGTGGGCAAGACAATAATCATATAAAAGTATATATAGATGACTTCATTTCTAAAATCAAAAAAGTAGCTACCCAACCGGATTTTAGTATTAGTATTAGTACTAGGGTCCTACCAAACAGCGAAATGTGCTACTGAACAGCGGAATGTGCAGGAATGTGCAGGAATGTTCAAGAATGTGCATCTATAACTGCCGCAATGTATCAAAATAGAAAACAGTAAGGGCATTCTATCTATCTATGTGGTTACGTCGATCTGTCACTCTTGACAATTACTCAACGGTTTCCATATTCTATGTTAAACAGTTAATTCTATGCTTATTCGGTATGCAAATGATACACGCGCAGCGCGCACGCACACCTGGCTGTAGTGTACGCCTATGCAAATGATGAACAAGCGCCGGAGGTATGCAAAAGATGCACAAGCGCCGCGCGAATGTGCGAGCATCAACACGCACGCACACCTGCAGCTGTGTAGTGTAGGGTACGCTTGTAATGTGACGCATTACATTTCTGTCGAAGAGTATATCTGGAAATTCTCTGGTCCTGCTAATTAATTATACGGCTAGTGTAAATCTCCATGCTACATTATGACTGGGAATTTGTTGGTGGTTATTATTTACTAATCTTGAATTCGTTTAAGCGTGGAACATTCTGCATTTAACATGTGTAAACCCGTTTTGCAACATTTTGGTACATTACGGCAGTTATAGATGCACATTCTGCGCACATTCCGCTGTTTAGTAAGACCGTTACTCGTTAGTACTTATTACCACTGGCAGCAAGAACAAGTCCGCACCTGCAGCTACAGCACACACGCGACCATTGACTATATATATACAACAATATATAGTTGTATATATATAGTCAATGGTCGCGTGTGTGCTGTAGCTGCAGGTGCGGACTTGTTCTTGCTGCCAGTGCTTATTACGTGCGGGTGACGGGGTGTCATTGTCATTGACATTGCCATTGACGGAATGCGATTGTTGAAATTTGTGCCATTGACGAAATTGTCGTGTGGAAGAGGCAGAGAAGGAGACGAAGAAGAGGTGAAAGAGATCTAAGAGTAAGATGCCTGTGATAAAGTCCACATCGTCTGCACGGTAAGTTAGGCCGAGGCTGAGCGTTCAGACTTGCGTGACACACACACGGTTGTTTTGATTCAGCTATCGCAAGTAGTTTGCTACCACTGTGCAGTTAATAGAAATTCGCGGTTCCTCGAAAGCCACTCAAACATGCCACAAACACGAACCTAACCGAAAACACCAAATACATGACCTCGGCAGTGCTACTCACATAAATAAAGGTGTACTTATCTATTTCACTACTCATCTCATCCTGATCTCATTACATGTGGCGAAAGCCATAACTGCGCGAAAACACACGTGCAACAACGCCACCTCGCGGATATTTTATGAGTGCACCAGTATTTATACGTTTATCATTATACTCCATCGGGATATATAATTATATGTATATATATATATAGATAGATATATGTATATATATATATAGATAGATATATTCTTGAATATTCTCAGTCTCACACCTCTCTCTCCTTCAGCAAGACATATGCTGTTTTTTCATTCCGTACTGCACGACTGAAACGGTGCTCACGCATGCGCAATATCTCCCGAGAAGAATATCGGATTATATAATTTTGCAATCGGATTTTGCAATCGGATATATAATTTTAGAAAAATTATGCATATAAAATACAGAGCAGGTTTTCTAGCATAGAGTTATATCACAAAATTGCACCAGTAATAGGAAGAAGACCTTGCATGTAGCAGTCAGTACACGATCTGGCTATACATTAGTGTGGTAGCGCATGCGGAATATCTCACCATATGAGTTATATTTTGTGATGAATATGCATTTAATATGGTTAGGGAGGTATCTCGCCATAGATTTCTGTAATAAATTCTTATAGTAGATCTGTGTTTATAATTAGGAGAGCGCCCTAGCCTGTAGGGTGCAAAACCCGTACTTCATCCCCTCCCGTCTGGCCATGCATTGCCTCCCTTGTCTCTCGCTCAGTCTCCTTCCTCTTCTACCGCCCCTCAGTTATCTTCTCTTCCGCCTTTTCTTTGTCTCCCACCTCTCTCTCTCT